GAATAGTACTACGTTCCGCCACTCCGTTGCAGATACTTAGATCTAAGTCATTTACCTAAGGGATAGAAAAAGATAATAGAATCTCGATGAAAAACTAAGAAGTACTTGTGTAATAAGCAGATCAGGTAAATTAAGTATTGAACTAAGCTTAAAGACAAACTGACATTTACTGGAGAGAAATTTATTTAATAATTTGCAAATAATATGAACTTCCAAAAATGAATAATCTAAATACTTAAACAATGAAGGCTAATAATTAATAAATAAAAACATTAGACAAATGGTAAAAAAATCAATATATTGGTTAAAATAACAACCAAATAAATTGAATTACAGAATACCGTGAGCAGAAAGTTTAAATGCGATAGCATAAGGGGGAATTAATTATTCCTCCTCAAAATGTATAGAGTAAAATGTTTTTTGTCGAAATTAATTCAAATTTAAGGTCTGTGGAAAAAGGATTAAAAATTAAAAAATATATTATGTAACATACCGATTAATAGGTTATCTGTACAAAAAAAGAAGAAAAAAATATGACAAATCTTTTCAATCCATTTAGCTGTAGCTATATTAAGAGTAATGACAAAATAAGCATAGGATTTGCTGATAGAAAAGATTCTATCATAAGCGATTGGTATGCCCTACTTGACGTATTGACTTGTACAAGAATGAGTTACAGCTCTAATGGTGTCCATCATATGATGGACGAAAGTTCAGTCCGGTTTATCCCGAAACTGCCAGAGAAACCAAACAGGAGATTTGGTCGTTGATTCGTGCTTGCTCTAATTGTAGTAAATAACTGTGAGTCACTTAGAGGTTCGGCTAATTCAAGAGATACTTCTAGTTTTTAAATAAGGGACAGGAAAACAAAGCAGGATGAGCCACTAAGTAACAAGAGAAGACTTGAATAACCTGGAGTGTGGTCTGAAAATTAACATATATCCTGACTCAGGAGTATTATATACACACAGCGCATATAAATCTACAAAGCTTTAACTCGTTTATATGAATCAACGCCATTTATATTCCATTTCGAGTAAAATGGAAGTAAGCTCAACAATTATGAAACAAGAGATTTCTCGAAACTCAACTTTTCTTCGCATAATTTATAAATCACTTGCACACGTCATTTCAGATGAACTAAATGGTATTACAGCATCAATGTAATCACTAAATCTCAAAGACCACAAATTATGCTTTAGCCAAAGAACCATGCTAAATCCCTTTAAAAGATATCATGGTAAATAGATAATCTTGAGATTTCTGCTGATATTTTCTTATTTCTGATGCCGATGAGGCTATGGTAAAGCTAATTAAAATTCATCAAAGCAGCCATAGTGCATCTAAACTAAGCATCATAATCTTAGTTAAGACAACATTAAAGTCAATTCGTGACACCTGGCTGAGAAATGGATAGACGAATATTAGCTAAGGCATTGCTAATGGACAATTTATTCATTCGAGGTGATTTCAGCCCACGATCTAATTAGTCATTGAGTTTCCTGCTTCAATAAATTATGCTGGTTACGGAGTATTCTGTCTATAAAAAGAATAATAAATAAGAGAAACTAACACCAAGCGACCTGCATGGCTTTAGCTATCTCGGCTTGGTCACTGGCCATCGGCAAGCGCTGGTCTCTACAGGCTAATTGCATAGCGTCAAGGCAACAGCAAGCTGATCCGGTGGCTTCATCTGATCTGTCTGCGTGGTCAAGAGGAGGAGGGCTATTTAACTGGCAATGCTGATAGACCAAAGAGTCCGGAAGGCCGGAGTAGCGTGAGCCTTCATCGGCCCTGGCAGCAGAGCTGGATCTATCAGCGATCGGGAGAAGACTGTGGTGAAGCTCACTGGTTCTTGCCAGAACATCCCAGTCAGAAGTAGCACCAAACCGGGGTTGACCAGAGCCAGGCAGAAGAGATTGCAAACCTGATGGTAAGAAAAGGAAGGAGAGACAAAGGAGTGAGTTTAAGCATACTATGAGTTTGAAATGAGGACAATTGTAAAATTCCGGTATCTTTTAAACCTAAGAAAAGATGATAATTAATATAGTCATATCATTTAATAGACCAGGATTTTACAATTGTGGAATTACCTGAATTAATTATCATATTTAAGCTCTTTGCTAACCAAATTAGTAAAGAAATTATATCAGTTTGTAAAAATAATTGAGCTAAACAGTTGTCTCCACTTTTGAGGTTCAAAACGATGGTTCATGAAAAAATAACGATATCAATTTATATATAAAATGTAAGATAATCTTTTTCTTGTAATAAGTAGCTAAATCGAAATTGTATATTTTAGTATATCTCATTCCCCTGAAAAGGCTTCTAAAATAAAAGACTATAAGATAAAAGTTTAGGACATTCATAGAAAGCCTTAAGTCAGACTAGGACAAAACACTTGCACTTGCAGGTTAGTTAATTAACTTTACTGCATTAATGCAAACTCCAATGGCTATACCCCAACTACATGTCGCAGCTCTACCCATAACGAAGATATCTTG